CTTTCTAACTTAAATTATTTTAATAATAAAAAGATTTTACCTTCATACGAAAGAATGTTATTGATGTAAGAAGATCAACAGTCGATTTTAAATCTTGCATTCGTTCGACACTTGATGATGGAAAATTATTCTAAATATAAAAATAAAATGATTAATTAGAACGAATTTTAGATATAAGAAAAAAAAACCCAACATACTCGATACATTGATAAATCAATACGAATTGAATTGTGTAATTGATCAAGTAATTTTATAAATTTGTCTTTCTAAAAACAATTTTATTTTATGTTTTTCTTTAAATTAATATTCAATCTATAAAACAACTATTTATTAATTCAATGTTTCATTTGTACAAAATTTTATAGTTTTTAAAGAAAAAGAAAATTTTCAACTTAACAACTTATTTTTAAACTAATGAATAGACGAGAATCATTTTATTGTAAAAATTTTTCAAATTTAATAAATATAATTATGAGTAGAAGTTCAAATAAAGAGTTGATCTTAGAAGTGAAACCAGTCTAAAACTTAACGTAGTTTTAGACTTTTCGAGAAAAGAAATTTTTTAAAGTTATCTAATAAACAATTCATAATTTTATATTGTTTTTTAAAAAATGTTTTCATCATCTTCTTAAGAAACATTTCTAATTGAAAAATTTTCTATTGTCTAAGAAAAAAATAACTTAATTTTATCTCGGCATAGACCGAACCCGAAATCTGATTTGTTGTTCGAGACGAATTGTTTGCGTTCCGATTTTGATCGGAAGCTATCCAACTAGTTTTGACAATGTCGGATATTTGAATAAATTCTTAACCATTTCTCGATGTTTACGAGTCATCATGAAAGTACTCTAAAATTCGGTTAAGTGGAGTTCAAGTATTTCTGAACATTATTAACTTTATTTAGAGTGGCTGCAGACGTTCATTTTTTTTGATAATTTATTCTCCTATTCACAGAAGAGCTTCACATGAGATCGGATATGTTTCTAAAGATTTTTGTCTCATAGGACAGGATATATTTTAAAATCTTGCATTGTTGTCCCGCCTTATGAACAACATTTGATTAATTCTTCAACTAATATCATAATAATAATAATATTAAAATAAGAGCTGTTAGTTATGACATTGAAGCAATAACATTATGTCAAATTGTATTCGATTGAGATATTTATTAAAAAAAAACAAAAGTCTCATCTGTCCCATGAGATAAGACTATCTCATTCCATGTGAAGCTCTAATGTGTAGATATACCATAGTCAAATCTAAAGCCTTATTTTATGTATTACTTCTGCTTCGTTTTATGAATTAGTTAAAGATGATTAAATCCAAAAGCTATCTGAAACTTTCAGATTTGGTAAATATTTAATTCTATCTTATAAATTCATATTCTACTTACTCCAAAATTCGATGCAGCAAATTGATCAGCTGCTGATACAGCAGTTGTTGCTGTTGTATGTGCATAATAAGCATTTATATTAGCTAAAAGAGTACTCATCACAGCAGGAACACCGGGACACATATATTTTGTCGATAAACATGCGAAATGTCTAAATAAAAATGTTTCATGTTTCATATTTATTTTTATTTTTATATAAATAAAATAAAAAAATAATTATTTACGTCATTGCTTGATAAATTGATTCAATACCATAACGTATTGCAAATTCATTAACAATTTCTTGTGAAGGTTCATCAAAATAAATTTTCCAAGCATCATCCTTTAATACATAAACATTCTCATTGTTAATAAAAAAAAACAAATGCAAACTTAATAAATTACTCCTTTAGCATCAGGAATAATCGGTTGACCATTATTATTTTCACAAAGTGTATAAAATAGATTGTCATGTAGACAAGTATATTGTGCATGATATGGAGCTACTTTTTCTTCTCCTTTTATTTCAACTGATATATGAAGACGAATAGCACCAGAAACAGCTGATTTATCTGTTCGTTTTTCTAAATTATACCAAACATCCATTTCACCAGATAATGTTCGAACTTCAATTATTGTTTGACCAAGAAAATCATCAGATTCACGGGTTAATTTTTGCATTAATTTAGCTCGTATATCATCATCTTCATCCCTAAAATTGATTTTATTTATTTATTTATTTATTCCAAAAACTAATTTATTTCTCTAAAAATTTAAACTTACCATACTCGAACTTTAATTCGATCAGATGAATTATGACATTCACTAAATAAAAAAAAATTAAAAAAAAAAAAATATGAATTTTAATTAAAATTTTTGTTAAATAAATTTACAAAAAGAATTTTTCATTCCATGTTGGATTTAATTCTGAATAAACAGTTTTCGTTCGTTTTTTAACTTTTCCAACTTGAACAGTAACATATGGATCTGATGTACCAGATTTATCTTTAGCTATTAAACCTTGAGCACTTATCACTAAAAATAATATGTTTTTTTTTTTTTTATTAATTAATTCAAAATAAATATATTATTTCTTTACCAGTTATTGCCAATTTAGCTGACCATTTTGATGTACCATCAAGTACACTTTGTTTAACAGCTTTCATATGACCCACATGAGATTTTTCATCGACATTAAATACGTCCCTTAACAAAAAATAATTAATAAATAAAATTGATTTTTTTCTTCTTTTATTTAACAAAAATAAATTTAACCTGATTGTCTTAAATAGATGTGGTCTTGTACTTTCCCTGAGTGTCATTTTTTCATGCATGGCTTCCATTAAAGTTTTTGCTTTATCATCAGCACCATGCTTAGCATTTTTTTGTGCTCGACCTATTCATGAAAAATTCTATTTATTTAATTTGACAATATTCATATGAAATATATCGAATACTAATGAATAGCATGCAATGTTCAAAGCATAATTAAATAAGAAGTTGAAAAATGGGGATGGAATAGAGAATAATAATAAAAAAAAAAAAAAAAGAAAAAGAAAGCAGGATGATAAAAAATATAAATGCAATTATCTCTGAATTTCTGCATACGTTTCTCCTCGACGGTAGTATTATCAATCTCATCTGGATTATTATCATGATGAAACACATGAACTAATGATACTAGAACAACAATTATATACACCACGATATATGCAATACAAATGACAACATAAAAAAAAACAAAAAATCTATCAACAACAGTTTTGATTTTTTTTATATAAATCAACAACAATAAAAATCAATTGACTTCTAATAAAACTAAATGAATTATGCTTACGTTGAAGACAATCAGCATTAAGAAGATCTTTACATTTTTCATGACATTTAACTCCACATTCTCGACATTTTAAACCTTGTCTTGCAATACCCCATAATAAGCCTTCACATTCATAACAATATGTTGGATGTGTAAATGAACAAAATTCAAAATCATGTGGAGTTGTTAATGATATTGGATAAATTAATGCTTGTAATGTTTTTTTATATACATGAGTACGCTAAAAATATATAGA